CCACGGCTGTCCTGCTGCCGGCGTGCTCCCCGGCTTTGCTCCCCGTCTCCCTGGTCTGCTGGAAACCAGCAGACCAGGGAGACGGGGAACAAAGCCTCTGAGGCAGTGGGACAGCCGCGGCGCGTCTGGGCTGTCCGTTGCCCGCGTGCTCCCCGGCTTTGCTCCACGTCTCACTGGTCTGCTGGAAACTAGCAGACCAGGGAGACGGGCAGCAAACCCCGTTCGTAACTGCGGATCCGATGTAAGTCGGATCCGCATAACTCGGGGACTGCCTGTATAGGCAAAGCCTAAACATGTTCTTCTGCCCATAGCAATTTGACCAAAGCTGCACAGCAAATTAATGCTAGAGCTGGTTTTGAAACCTATGAGCTTCTGACTTCCACTCCTGTGCTGATTAGACGAGGGGTGCAAAATCCCATTTAATTAGTTAACCACTGGGCTGGAGTGCCCCACCCCTCACAGCTGGGCTGGAATGGCCCCTGCGTCATGGACAGGGCCTGTTCTAGCACCACGGGGGTGCTAGTTCACAGTTCACCTGGGCTCGCAAGCTGGGAATTGGCAGACTTGCGCTGGGCGTAAGTGTGTGTATGTGTCGGGGGGAGGGCTGCCAGCTCCCAGCCTGCCTGCAGCCCTTTCCCCCCACACACACTATTTCCACTTCTCCACCCCCGCCCTGCAGCCTTCTGCCCACGGACCTGTTCCCGAGTAACAGTTAACCGTTACCCGGTAACCATTGCCCATTAAGATTTCCCGTTCACATCCCTAGACTAGACCATACTGCTTCTTCATTGACATAATATAGGAGGGTGCATTCTTAACTATAAACCAAACCCTAACAAAAAACTAGCTTGCTGAGTTTTGCCTTCTATAATTTTTCTAAGAAATATGGAGCAAATGAGGATACATGATGTGATCTAATAAGTGTAAATGGCTAAGCTTTTTTTTTTCAACACAAGTTCTGTTTTAATGTCCTGATGGAGGAAGCGTCACATAAATGGAGAATGGAATAAGATTAGAACAGACAATCAAATGTCAATATATGAAAACTCTTTTTGGAGAGGATACATCCATCACCTTTTCTTTTTGAAAAAAATCAAATTTTAGATCAACTTCTTTATATATTCATAGCTATGAGATTGAAGAAAATTTACTGTCACCTTGAATGTCTAACAAAGATCTTACACCATGTTAACTACATAAGGATTAAAGCTACAGCAAACTGTTCTACCCACTACTAAGCTCATAAGAGGAGTAAGCTTGCTAGCCAGCCATTTGCCCAGTGTATTCATTTTCCCCATGAAACTGAAAGCATACATCATGTGTACCCAGAAGAGTGTGAACTAGAGATACTTATCTAGAAAAAAGTGATAAAATGCTAACTTTTGCAACTGAAGTGGCTTCCTAAGAGCCATTTGCTTCTAATTATTCTCATGTAAAGCATACTAGAATAGTAAATATATACAGATAATTAATTACAAACATTCTCGTTCTGAGTTTGTTTCCCTAATTTTAAAATTCTCCTGTGGTTTTAATTAGGTGAGCTGAGACAAATGTGCTAAGAGGCCTGTAGAACTGCTATTGTTTTTGTAGCTTTTTCAAACACTTCTGCACACAGCTTATGGCTCCCATTTACCATTCTAGGGTGCACACAAATCCAACTTCACAGCAGAGAATTCTGATCCCTCTGAAAATGCTCACCTTTGATTCAGAATCCATCTATTTGCTCTCTGAACATTTTTATAACTCTGGACCTTCTAAAATCCCAACCTCATTTTTAATTCCTGACAGGGCAATGCCGTGCTAAGAGTCTAAGAACATACAAATAACTTTTCCCCCTCTTCCTAGATGGGGGACGTTCCTGAAATAGGCTGCTCTAAAACATGGGCAGGATATAAACATAGCTGCTCAAACTGTACACTACAAACTGCCTACCTGAACATGGAGTGTGTTTAAGTGGGAGGGGTTTGTGCCTTGGTCAGTCCCATTCTCTCATCCCAGCAGCCAAATGACCAACTGATATAGACACCTGCAGCCAGGAGGGTCACAGGCTTGGATGGAGCTATTTGACCCATAGCGAGGAGCAAATGTGTCACTTTGAGAAGTTATACTTCTCTGAGCCAAAGAAAAGCCACCTTCAACATTTAATCTATGACTGGCACTATTTATCCAAGGCTGTGGCATGGTAGGTGAGCACTAAGGTACATTCACACACTGTGGGCTGGCATATTTCACATCTCTAGGAGTGAAGTCGTCCTGATAACTCTCACACACATTTAGCCTGTGCAAATGTTTTGGCACAAAATATGTGATGTATTTAAGGCTGTGTGTTGTGTAGTGTGATTGATTTCCTCTTCTTGCTTCATACCCATCAGCCAGCAACTTTGGTGAAAGGAACATAGAGTATCAAAGTAGTTTTCGCTGGTACATACTCTCTTCACAGTCAAGATTCTCTCAATAGCTCCTTCTGGCACCTACTGGAAACTGATTGCACCTTGAGTACTCATAAAAATCAGTTCAACTCTCAGTGCTCCATGTCTGTTTAACTTTAGCAATTAGATTCGTTTAAAAAAACACAGCATGTTGATAAATAAAGATTATTGGTTTTTTTCCAGAGTCTGCATCTTCTCTTATTTTATTATGTTCTGATAATCAACACTTCATAACTGCAAAGACATGTGGGGGAAACAAAACTTTTCAAATATTTTAAACTTACTGGTACACTAATATAGTGGTTGAAAGGTGAGGGGATGAGTAAGGTTCATTTTCTAATTTAAATCCATTTTAGATGCAAATTAAGTCTATATTTGTCATCAGCTGGCTGAATTTCCAAAAATGATTGTAACTAGTAAGGGATTTATTTTTGAAGGGAATGCTGAGAGTCTTGGCTAAACTGCGATATTTTTCTTTGGAAAGTATCCTAAACTGCTTGAGAAAATGCCTCAGATTCCCAAGGCAGGAGGGGAAAATACTTTTTATATACTAAACTAGACTTTCCTTCCTCTTCCTAATGCAAGTCAGTCAATCAAATTCTTTTAAGAACAGTTGTGTGTGCGTGTTATGTTCAATTTACACTGAGAATGAAAAATGCAATCCATTTCATAATTCAATCTTCATTGAGCAATATACCCACCTGAGCCAGTTCAGCACTACTGAGGTGCCTGTCACTGTTTATATCCAGGTACTTAAACAGGTCTTCGACTAACAAGCGCTTCTGGAATGTTCTATCCTCCACAGGGCTGCCCAGCTGGTTGTGGTGATGAGCCTGAAAGTCCAGGAGTATGCTTTTAAGACGGCTGTAGTTTGCCATTGTGCAAGTGTCACCTACAAGAGAAGATGATATTACTTGAAAATGTATTTTTAATTTGATTTGTGTAGAGTACTGAAGTTCTGAAGGAAAAAGTAAGGCACAATCAATGACAGCCTCCTGTGCAGATACTAGCTCTCAGATCCTACAATCATTCCCTGTAGCAATAGCTAGCATGTTTTATAAATCCTACCTTCAAGGAAGCACTTAAACATGTTCCTGTATAGATTACAAAGGTTTGGATAGCAATAAAATTATGTCTAATAATTCCAACCCATATTAAATGTCCACTATATATTCCTTAGCAATGATTATAAAATAAATACATGCACCCGAGGACAATAAGGAAAAATAATAAATTCTAGCAAGTCAGAGTTTACAAAGTTTTAGGATCATAAATAAGTCCCATTGTACAACCCTATACCATGTGAAAATAGCATTGCCCCGACTAAAAACTGTAGGGCTTTTGTCAAATAAGGTATGAGACACACAGTGACACTAAGACTTTTATCTCACTGGCAATGTGCTATACAAAGAGAGAACCGTACATCCACCACAAGCTGGTAAACTGGACACTGGGAAGATAATAAAGGGTGCTTAGGTGTCATGGCATGGATTGTACCCATCATCCTCTGTGCGAAAGAAGCAGAATGTCATTGTGCTAACCCTGGCGATACTATCTAGTCCTGGGCCAGATTTTGCTTTCAGTAAAAATGGTGGCCTCAGTGCAATTATTCTAGAGTGACATTGGTCTACTGGAGCAAACAATAAGACTCCATGTGACCTAGAAATTCCTATGGAGGCAGCATGAAAGGCAGTTATCTATTGGCTTCTATCTGCATGGGCCTGGAGATCATCTTACTCTAATGTAAGAGGCTTAGTTTGAAGCTCTTATTCAGTTTAATTCTTGACAACATCAGCTTTTAAAAAGTGTTTTAAGTTAAGGCCTCATTATTGCCTTTGGGAGGGTCTGTAACTAGCACTGGCAGGAATTGCTTATGCAGATCTGTGGGGTATATAAAGACAAGTGTAGTTCCCTTACTATAGGAGCCTCTGACTTTTACTGGGAGGATCCTTTGTGCTGCAAGCTAGCCCTAGAGATTACAACTCCCATGAGCCCTTGGGAAAAAGGAGGGAAAAACTCTTGCTCTTTTCCAGGCATAGAGAGACAGAGTTAGGGAGGCTTCATTTTGGAGAGAGGAGCCAGATTGTTGGTATGGAGAAGGAATGTAATAGTATAGTCAATTAACAGATTAACCAATAAGCAAAAGCTTACAGGTTAATGCTACAGATTACACACATTCCCCTCCCCCCTCCTCTTGCCAGTAAATTTTTTAGCAGGCTGGCCAGCAGCCCAGCTCAGTCCCCACTTGCATTGTGTCCTGGACCTACCCCCGTTGCAGCTCTCATTTAAAGTATATTAGGAGCCAAGCAGGCAGGCTCAGTTCCCACTCATGCTGGGTCCAGGAGCTCAGACTCCTCCCCCCTGGACAGGGGCTGCCTGGGGACTATAGAATAGTCAACTAACCGATAAGAATTCATGAGGTTAATCATCTATTCAACCAATATTTAATATCCCTAGTGTGGAGCTCTTTCCAGGCCTGGAGCTGTTGTGTTGAAGCTAGAGCCTGCTGGGACTTGGATCTTCATGGCTGCTTCAGGGGCTGTTGGTGATTGTTTCTGTCATCTGAAGAAGTGGGTTGTGCCCACGAGAGCTGATGACACCATCTAAGTTTTTTGTTATTCTTTAAGGTGCTGCAAGACTAAGCATTGTTTTTTAAGTTTTTCCTGCATAGAAGGTAACTGTGTGTAACTGTGGTTCTTTGGCAAAGTGCTGCCTGGGATGGAGCACAGAAGCAAATTGATTCTGGGTTCAGAGACAGCCAGAGTGATCTTTCCAGTGAACCAGAGCTGCTGGCATTCCAGTGGCATGGGGATTTTGCGGCCTATTCCAGTGGCACAGGGATTTTGCAGCTGACTGACTGCCTGAAATGACACACACAACCTGCACAGTGCTGTCTCCACTTCAGCTGAAGACCTTCAAGCGTGTCCACACAAGCAAGTGAATCCAGAGGAGTGCACACCCTGAGGTGGGATAAAGGGGGGCAGTGTAAAATGCCAGCTAGATAAGTTTCCTTTATTTCTGTGTATTTTGCTAATTGATTTTATTCACTTTTAATCTGATAAGCTCCGTTTCTTTAAGTTATTAAGTAAAGGTGTGTTAATTCTAGTTTAATCAATTAGATGTATATTATTTATAACTGTTGTTTTGGAGTTAGATCCAGATTATTACCAGAATAATTTTATTCCTGGAGGCTCCCAAGGCATACCATTAAGTGCATACAGGGCCAGCCAGGTGAAAGCACCACCATTGTATATTCCTTTAGGAGCAAGGGACTGCAGCAAGGGGGTGGACAGGGAATCCCCAATTATACAACATCATCACTGGGGTACTTAGGATCTCCTTTAATATTAAAACAATCAGGCACCCAGGCACACAGGTGAGTGTGGCCTGCTCCCAAATAACCCAGGGAGGAAAGAGGAGCATTACACAAGAAAATCTTCTTCTATAGCAAGAGGCTCTTTCAGGGACAGATTTTCCAACCTCTTTGTTGTTGGGTTGCACTGTTTGATGGGTTACTTTGATAAGAGAATAAGGCAGGAGGGGATGAGGAGCATTTCTCTAGAACCCCACTACCACCAAAACTGGATTACAAGTGGGATATTTTTTTTTGACAGTGGACATATCGATTCAGAATATTTTTTGGCACATCTGTGCTCAGAGCCTCTAAAAATACCATGAGCCTACTGGATACAAGGCATGCCAGCAGGACCTATCTTCATTGCTTCAGGTGGTATTTTCCAATCAGTGTCCTAGTAAGATCCATGCTGAGACTAATATCAACAAGATATTTGTTTCTCCTCCTTCTGCCAGCCCCCTACATTTTCAGAAGGCCTTCCCCCCCATGGACGTAGACCATTCCAGAGCATGTCATCACAATTCCTGCAGTGACCAGAAGGACTGTTGGAGAGTGGTGCAAAACATCCCCTCTCCCTTTTGTGATCTCCACAGAGCTCCTGGCTCTTCCTCCCTTTAATCTACAAATGAGTGACTGAACTTTCACACTCCTGCTTACCCTGTTGTGCCAACACTAGGTTGCCAGTTTTCTCTTTGGTTTATTTATGTTTCTGTGCTTTTTCCAATGCCATGTCAATTGATTCCTATTCTCAACGAAGCACCCAGATCTCTGTTGCTTTCTGTCATGCATTTTAGCTAAAGAAAATTCAGCTGCCTCATCCATCGTAATCAAACAGTTTTGCAGTTCTTATATTTTTAGGGATTTGGCTACTGCACAGTTCCTTTCTCTCCAGTTCCAGATGAATACCACAAGTAGGGGAAAAAATTGTCTGGTTTGCTCCCAGATCTATTTTTTAAAATATTATTATTATTATTATGGGGCCATTTGGTGACACTGATAATAACTTTGCCTAAACAAGAATGTTCTGAGGGGTCATAATCACTTCCTCAGTCATTCAGGGTGGCTTTTGGAAAGCGTAAAGTCTCTGAAGCACAAATCTTCATACTAAAAACCTGATTCAAAGTCCACTGAAGTTAGTCGAAGAATTTTTTTGATGGACTTTGCATCTGGTCCTAAATTTAAAAGACTGTATAGCTACTTTATTCATTGAGGAACACCCATCCTCTACACTCACTGAGGCAGGGGTCCTGGTGTAAAAGTTTAAGGGATCATACAATTAAAGACTGTTTAATAATGTATGTGCATAAGAGGGCAGAGTTAAGTTTGCATGGGGAATATAAAGGTGACACAAACTAATATAGGAATGCTATGAATATTCTAATGTAATTTTTGTATGTAAATAACACCTCTTTCCTCTTTTATAGTGCCTTTCTTTCAGAGATATCAAACTGATTAACAAATAATAATTAATGAATCTTCACTTCATTACATTACTGTAATTCCCATTCTCATCTTACTGTGGGGGCACACAAAAGATAAAGGAAGCTCTGCTCCCATTGTATTCAGTGAGCCCTTTACTACTGACTGTAATGGAGTTAGCATGCTAAACATAGCAGTGTAGCTGCAGTAGCATGGAAAGTAGAACCCCATGCCCAAGTCCCATAAGTACGTACGTGGGAAAGCTAACCGATGCCACTGCTGCCTGTGCTTTTGCAGCTACACCTCTGTTTTTAGCACACCAGCTCACAGAGTGCATCTACACTAGCAGGGAATCATGTGCCTAGTTCATCACCAAGATACAGACTTTCTGAGGGTATGTCTACACTAGCCATAGTAGTTCGAACTAGGGTGGCTAATGTAGTCATTAGAACTTGCAAATGAAGCCTGGGATTTAAATGTCCCAGGCTTTATTTGCATGTTCCCGGGCGCCGCCATTTTTAAATGCCCCGTAGTTCGAACTACCTGCCCGTGCCTACACGCGGCACGGGCTAGGTAGTTCAAATTAAAGCTCCTAATTTGAACTACCGTTACTCCTCATACCGTTACTCCTGCAATGAGGAGTAACGGTAGTTCGAATTAGGAGCTTTAATTCGAACTACTTAGCCCGTGCCGCATGTAGCCGCGGGCAGGTAGTTCGAACTACGGGGCATTTAAAAATGGCGGCGCCCGGGAACATGCAAATAAAGCCCGGGATATTTAAATCCCAGGCTTCATTTGCAAGTTCTAACGACTACATTAGCCACCCTAGTTCGAACTAGGGTGGCTAGTGTAGACATACCCTGACAGTGTTAATGGCGGAAATCCTGAATCCCATTTCTGCTGAAATCATGCTTCCTTCCAGTGTATTAACCTTACATTGATAAACTTTCTGGCTTAAATTTAATCACCCTAGAATGACTTGGAATTTGGCAACAGTGTAAAAATGTACACTACTGAGCTATTCCACTCCTATTTGCAAAATTAATTTGATGTGGCACAGTGCCATAAATGCTGTAGCTTGAGCCAAAAAGAGCACAGCTATGTACATAAAGGAAGCT